ATTGAACTGCCATTCCCAGGTGAGTGGACTGAGTGTAACCACTCAGGTCTCAAATTCCATTTGATGATGCTCTGGTTCTCGTGAATGAGTGGTAAGTATAATTATTGTCCTTTTATATACATGAAAAGTGGCCAGTGGCATTATAATATAAAACACTGGAATTATAGAAAGTTGGAATTCAAAATCTCACTACATCCCTCTTAAATATCAAGAAAATGCTACAGCAGGAACTTGCTGAAAATATTGACAAAATGATTACTTTACTATTTATCAAAGTTCCATATCATTAATCATCATCATTCTTTTTAGTTCTGGAACGTCCAATATTTTCACAAAATTCTCAAACTGGTAACTGGATTTGCAAAAAGGAGAGCATGTCTAGAAAAATGCTGTTTTCCAATCAGGTCACTCTGACTGAATTCTTTATTTGGTTTCATAATTAGTTTCAACTTTACACATAGCTGACACAAAAAAGATAAGGAAAAGCATAAGAGGCCAATTATAGAAGTTATAAATGCACAGTATATCAAAGTCATGTTCCATATCTCTAAAATTACAAATAAAAACAGGTCATAAAGAAACAAACTGATTTAAAAAGGCATTATTTCTAAACGAATATAAACAAACGTTAGAGTAAACCTCTAATGAGATTCTAAGGTGTTACTTTTTTCACATTTTAACCGGATGTCTTAAAATAGATTACTCATTTAAAATAGAGGTTCTTCCCCACCGTTCCCAAAAAACTATTATTTTTTTAAATGTTAATTTTTCTAATTGATGGAATTTCAGAATCACTGAAATTTCTCTGAATCCCAGTCTCAAGGGTTGCCTTAAGCCTTAAATTTACAAAATGTTTTTGCAAATAATGCTCTTATACTGGGTTTACATGATAGTAAAATGCTAAAAGGAAATACTAATGAATAGATCAGTCTAATTTGTGATTAACATCATTAATCTGCATGTTTTTCACTAAGTCCTTAAAGGAATTTGTTCTCCTAAGTATATTAACCATGACCAAATCTTGTTGTTTATTATTAATTATATTAGCAGACCCCCTTCTTCACATCCAGTGCTGACATAAACTTCAGCCACCAAACACTAAGTTTAATTATAGTAAATTTCAATTAATGATACCGAATTAATGAGGTTTTACTATAATCAAATGGAAAACCAGATACATGGAGTAACTCAACTGATGGCAACAAACATCAGTAAAAAAAAAAATTCACAATGAGCTGCTCTTCTTGACACACCACAGAAGAAATGATATTTTTTAATACTCCATTTCAAGATTCAAACATGACAGTTATTACTGATGTAGCATTTTTTCATTCCTTTTTAAGTAATATTCAGTCTTATTCAGCTAGAAACACTCGCGGTTTGAATTCTTATTAATATTTTACTTAGCTACCATCATCTGGCTTGTATGACTTAGGTATCTTTCCAGAATATTCCTATGTCAACACAAGTAGTACAAAGGCTGACATCACACCGAAAGACAGCAACTTTGCATTGCCCACAGCCAAAAGCAATACAAAGCACAAGAGCTCCCTACCTAGAGTTTTTAAGAAACAGTCCAAAACTCCTCACAGAAATTTACCTCTCAACCACCTGCCATGGTATCTAGAGTTTCTACCATTAAAAATCAGTTTGGGTTAAGGTAAAACACTCCTTGCAAAACACTCAGAGATGGGACAGAGGGAAGAAGTGTAACAGATCAATGCACTCATCAAATACAGCTGAATCTCCTTCAAGTATTTAACTGTCATGGAGTAGAGATCTATAGCCAGGAGGGAATGTTAGGGCTAGACAAGGAGGAATTATAGGCAGGAACAGGCAGGAAGAAATGAAGAGAAGCCAAAATTTGAAAAAGGCATGTGGAGCACCACTGCAAAGAAAAAACAGACTATCAGATGTGTTGAGGGGGAGAAAGGGAAATAGTTATTCTTCTCTTTATTGCCCTCGGTTTTTTGCCATATAGTTAGTTATGCAATGCTTCTTTTTAAAAAAAAATGTAAAACAGTAAATGGGTCAAATTATTCTCATTTCCAACAAATGACATTACCAAGATGTTGCCTCTGAATTTTTTATACTTTCCATTGTTTTTATCCAAGAACAGTCAAAATGAAACAGCACCAGTTTTGTAGTAACTTTTTTCTGAGGTCATCTAAATGAATGCTCTTCATCTCAAACACTGCCATTCCTTTTCATTCTTAAGATTTAGAAAACTGATCAGTCTCGGACACACTTAACAGATGCTGCAAACCTAAAAAATTATAGAGTTAGCTGAGACTTAAAATCAACCTGTCTATAAAGTTGCATTCTGCAAGTAAAAATCAAGAAAGCCGTCCCATCAGGGTATTACTATAAACAAAACCACAAGCACAGCTTTTTTTGTAAATAGCAATTTGTTACAAAACAAAAGCCATATCACACTAATGAAGATAACTGTAAACAAACACCATGGTGTGCCATGGTAATAATGATCCAAACACTTCTTACTTCTGTATTCAGTAAATACTACTAGTTGTACTTCATATAAGGAAAGAAGCTTTTAAGAAGCAAAAAAATTTTCTCAAGGATAATCCTTTTTTGCATTAAAGAAAAAGCACTGAGATAAAGTACTAACAAAATTTATAGTAAAGCTATGTAACTTTACTACAGTTTGTGAATCATATCTTAAATTTTTGTAAATGCGAAGTCATATGGTAATCTCTTTTCCATCAGCATACATGTACTTTGTACTCACTATGCATATGTTTACATACTCAAGGGGAAATGCTGCTTCATAGAAGACTGATAATCTAAATAGATTATCACTCAAATAACTAGTCGTAAAAATCATACATATAACAATGTTTAATCCAGTGTTCAATAATGACTTTTAAGCCAATAATATAGCATCTATAAGAAAGCATAAGGGAAAAAGTGGCAGTGTGTCAAAACCTTGAAATCAAGATTCATCAATAAAACTTTTTTCTAAACAAAATTTCAGATTTAAAATTTCACATCAAGATCCCTATCAAAACATGCAAAATTAACTTTTCCTTTTTTGAATCTATCAACCACATTTGCAATTCAGTTCTGCAAAAATATATAAACCAAATTATTGGAGTTATGGGTGGGTGTAGGTACTTATAATAGAAAGCCATCTATAACATAGCACAGTATTGGAAAAAAAGGCAGCAAGCAAACCACAGAATGGCTGAAAAGTCTAAGTGAGCCATGGAATGGCTGAATGGGTTCTTTCACCTTAACTGGTGAAGACCCAAATTATAATGTGAACAATTACTTTTATATTCATAACTTAATGAAAAATTTACATTTACATTGAGAATCCACACTTTGTGA